AATCGCTAATCCCTGCGGGGGTTCAGACACACACACACACACACACACACACACACACACACACACACACACACGCACCCACGCACGCATGCACGCACGCACGCACGCAGGGAGCAGCCCTTAAGTTCCACACTTTGCTACGGAGACAAAAGGCAACTCAACACTTAAAGAAAACCCGAACATGTATCAGAAAATTAGGGAACTGTTCACTCCATGAGGCTAATGTGCAGCATTCAAATTTTGCAACATAATAAAAAGACTAATTCTGAACAGCTCTAAATGCATGAAGCTAAAGCCTGAAATATTTAAGGTTTATTTATAATTAAAGCTTTAACAAAATGTGACTCTGTTAAGTTGCCAACTTGAAAGTTGTAGATGTCAGATTTATTTTCCAGCTAATGATCGCAGCAGGAGAATTATTTATAAAAAAAGAAAAAAGAAAAAAAGACAAAACAGTCCAAAGCCAGAAATCCCACGTGGAGATAATCACCAAACTCCAATCAACTTATCTTTGAGCCAAAAATGATCTGTTCCCCCAAAACTGTCTAAATTTACTGAGATAGTTTGCAAACAGACACCCAGATGGAGCTGAAAACATAACCTTCCAACTGTGTTGGCATAGACAAGCCCTCAATTACACTAATACACTTAAAAACCGTTCTGCAAAATGAAAGACGTGTAGTTCCTTGAGCTTTAATAGGCAGGAGCAGCATGCTAGCATGCTGAGCTGATTAATGATTTTACTATTAATGAACACGGGGAGCTACTGAACCGCTGCAATGGCAAGATGGCCCTTTCTGCATGTAGAAACCAGTCATTATGCATCAATTGGCAGATGGATTGTCAGTTATAAACATATTGAGCATTTGCATGTTTGTTTCATTTGCATGCATTTGGCCGAGACTCAAGCAACACAGCTGTAGAAACAGAAAGGGAGAGAGAGAGATCAGTGTTTTCACCTGGCTTTCCACCAGCATGGCCATGTCCATGAACATGTCGTGAAGCTCCCTGATACTGTTTTCCAGCTTGATAATCTCATTGTGCCGCGTCTCGATCTCATTCATTGCTTGCTGGGTGATGTTGTCCATAATTATCTAAGAAGGTACAAAATTAAGGAAGTAGTGACTGACAGGTGCGCCCCCGCTGCATTCTTTATGTTTTGCTTTTTTGTTTTTTTGTAAGACTTACCCCCGAGGTGAAGATGGCTGGGTTGTCACTTTCCAACATGCTCTCCAGCTCCTCGTTTGTTGTGTTTCTTCCAGCTAAAAAGGCAAAGCGCACAAACTTCAAAAAAAAGACCGCCAGCTTGCTTAAACTTTTAGGGATAACTGTAGGTGCATCGATATTTCATTTAAAAGGTTTCCAAAGAGAATGAAGACCATATTAATAAAACACTAATATAACACCCTGGACAATAACAGTCATCCCCTCCTGGTCTATATGCCAATTTGAGGATTAATTAAAATAAAAGCTGTTTGCTCATCTTTTACACATACTTATTTTCCATCCTCTCTCCATCCGTCTCCACTGTACAGGAACGGCAACACTGGATGTAATATGTAAAAGATTTGTCCAGGCAGGAAAAGGGTTAAAAACAGATGTAATAATAGAAAAACTGATCTGAATGTCGCAGGGTAAATATGTGTTCATACATCTGTCAGTATTTAACTAGGCATCTCAAATTATCTCCAAGCTAAGGTTCAGACAGAAAGCCATAAACCCTGCAATTCAAACATTAATGGGCCTACAGTTAAAATATTGCTTTACTACAGGAGTGAGCCATCGGACTTCTCATTGCACTTAACCCCACATCTCTGACATTTGCAGGCCAGGAGTTTTGCATTTTTCTGATCCAGCCACACTAATGTGAACACGATTAATGGTGTAAAATACCTCGAGAAACTAACAGTTCAGTTTTTTGCTCTGTGTACATCCATTTGTGGATGTGTTTTGAAGCAAAACATTCACAGTCTCTCTTCTTTAATCCTATCAGCACGTGTCATTAACGTTTGAACGAGGATCTGTGGCTACTCTAAAACCTACAAGTTAGATTTTTTTTCGCTTTTGACAAATCACACACGGTAGCTCAGCGACTGCAGCTGAGTCAGAGATATCAGTCTGCATCTCATTTGTAGTAGCTGAGATTGAATCTGATACTCGCTGATCATCTTTTGACATTTCCCCTTCAACTGTCAGACAGGCAGAACATGAGTAAACACGGCTCGTATTCATTTGAATATGAAGCTTGTGGAGTTTTCTTAGCATGAGGAGCAGAGGAAGACGGAGAACTATCACCTACTTATTTAGCAGTTTATTAAGTTTGCTTTAATATTTTCAATCTCCCATCTCTTTCTGTGTGACAGCATTTCTTATGGCTTCTTTCTGCTGATGAGTTTGCTCCTCATCCATCTTTATTTTCCCCAACAGAGTTGCCCTACTTTACAAGCATTTCCCTACACCTACACTAATACTCTCGTTTGAGCGCTGAGTTTGCATGCAGCGCTGCTCCACTTGGGCTCCATTACTGCCCCACTGTTACTGTAAGTCATAGTCAGACACTATCAGCATCATTTCCAATCTTTCCTTTGCACATTTTAAATCCTCTTTGGGGTTGCATGTGAATACAGGACTTTCCCTTTCTTCCCTGTGATGACACACGCGATGACCCATCAAATAGTAACTCGATGTACAGAGCTGAGCAGTTAGTTTAACTTCTCTCGGCTACGGTTAAAAAAACAAAAACAAGTAGCAGGCCAAAGAAATCTAAAAGCTTTCTAACAACACTGTCTATTAAAAAAAACTAGTGGTGAGAGAAACACTGAGCTTTTTTACTAAATAGAAGTACAAGAAAAAGCCATTTAGAGAAAAAGTTCAGAAATATTGTTGTAAAAATGATTTTAAATCATCAAAACTGCCCAATAGGCAAAATGGATTAAGATTAACGAATTAAATTAAAACACTAAGAAATATATTTTGAACATTTTCAAAGCAGATATTTTGACTCGCAGCAGGGACAGCACAAGTGCCTTCATGATGGCTGCATTCCATTTTCTTCATACTGGTTCACTGCTGTGGCATGCTGGGATATTATGGGGAAATCATTAATTCTGCCTGTTCCTTCCCTACTGCGCCACATCACAATGTCTGTCTAGAAAAAGATCTAAAAAGCACGCCATCTATAACATTTCTCCTATGGCCTCAGCGTCACAGGCCTAGAGACCAGTGGGTGATCGCCTGGCAATCACAGTTTGCTAGAGAAAAATGTGCACGTTACTTGTGCTTTAATGAAATTGCTCGCAAAGAGGTTGTAGTACTACACCAGAAACATTCTTGTGATTGCTTTGAACGCCAACAGGTTGTTGCGGTGCCCTGTAGTTGACCTGTAGTGTCGTATACTACAGGTCAACTACAGCAAGCTCAGGCAGCCACTTACCAACATGTCGGGAAATTCTCAATGACTGGAGGTTGTCAGCAACTGATATAAATTAACATAAAAGAGCCCTTCAAATTACACTGTGCTAATACAGCACTTTAATAAATGTATTTAGCTCATTTCTGCTCCTGGGGTATACTGAAACAGCAACCACAGGGGCTGACAAAAGAAGCCAACTGGAAGTGCCAAAAACCTGCAGTTCATCTAGTGGCCACTTGAGGCTGCTTACCCTTTTAACTACTCCAGAGATAATCTTAACATGCTCACAGCCTGGTACAAAAATGGTTTGGGTCTCTACAGTGAATTTCTGCTTTCAAACATCTCTCCAGGGGATTTATTTCTTCCCTTTTATTTTGTTCAGGGATAGAGTTATGATTGCTTTGACAGAACGTTATCAGCAATAGCTGTCGGCAAGACTTCGCCTCCACTAATTTGTGGCACTGAGCTGGACCCCATGGCAGTGTGTGTGCTGCTGGTGCCTTCTGGAGTATTTTTAATGGAATTATGTGACAAATATTATGACCCTCTATGAGGTACAGCCCATCCAAGAACTATGTGCTTCAAATTGGTTTAGTTTAGAGAGAATTTCTGTCTTTTTATTAGTCTGCTACATACTGTAATAATTAGCTGCTATATGCACTCACCAACTACTTAATTAGGTACATTTATTCAGCTGGTCATTAATGGAAATATCTATAAATGTCTAAGCCCATCATTAATAGTTTTATATTTTCTGCTAGTATAACGTCACTCCAAGAAGAAATGCACTTAAGTAAATTAAAGAATTTTAAAGTATTTTATAATAAGAAAAAGCATCAAAGCATTACTTAACCTATCAATAAGCGTTAGGGCGTGCTGATGAGTTACAACACACAGTGACCTCAGTCTGTCGCAGTAAAATGTGCAGCACTGCTAAAAGTAGAAACGCTGAAGAGTGATGCTGAAAAACTTGTTAATGCATTTAATACTTCAAGGTTCTACTTTAGTAATTCCCTCTTATCAGGTTTTTCTAAAAGCTGAACCTCAACAGACTTTATTAAATCTAAAACATAACAGAAAAACTACTAATAGTGACTAGAAAGAGAGACTGTTTCCCTTTCCTGTTAAACTCAGAACTGAATTTAAAAGCCTTCTGCACAGATACAAGGTCCTGAATAATCAGGCCCCATCACAACGTATCACCCCAGCAGAGAACTCTCAGACTGCTAGATTGTGACTTGTGGTTCCCACAGTTTGCAAAAGTAATGGAAGGCGGCTATCAGGCCCCTCTCCTGTGCAACCAGATTAGGCTCAAAAAATTCCTTTTTGACTCATAGCTTATAGTTAAGGATGGATCACGTCACCCTGCAGCATCCCTTAGCAGTGCTGGTAAAGGCAGGGAATGACAGACTTGCCATGACGCAATGAGCTCTTCTTCTCCACTCGCCCCTTTTCACTCCTGATGTGTTTACATGCCACTAATGCCGGTCATTAACGTGTCTCTTCTATAGTTTCTTTTCTCTACTCTTTCTTCTCAGCCCTGCAGTCACAGCAGATGGTCGCCCCTCCCTGATCCCTCCCCGGCCATGGCAGGGGGTCTCTTCCCATTAAAAGAGAATTTGTCTGTCTGGAGGTGGTGTTTATTGGACTTTTCTGTCTAATATTGAAAGGTTTGTTTTTTCCTTACAATATGAAACACGTTGAGATGACTGCTGTTGGTGCTATATAAATAAAATGAGTCAAATTGAACTCAAGACTATTCAAACTGGAACTCCTTGGGGAAATTGTTTTGTAGATCAAAGAAATTTATAGTAACCCTGACATGGTGTGACCAGTTCTTCTGTGTGATATTAAAAAGAGGGTAGCGAGATAGTAGTTTGACACTTTGTGCTTTGCTTATAACGATGATTTTATTAACTTGAAATTCTTGGAAAAAGGCAAATAACTCCAGCTCCTAAAATTTCAAATAATTAGAAAAAACACAACTCAATTCATTCACAGTAGCTTAAAGTAACAGACCTGCACAGCTTGCTTTGTGAACTCTTCTCATTCTTTCTCACCACTGGACCCCTGGGAGGAGATTTTAGAGGCAACAAAATCTGGATTCATGATCTAATCAGCGTGTGTGAGAATGCGTGTGATGAAGACTGGTGGTTGCTGTGGGGCCTCAGAGACAGAGCAGGTAGCGTGATGGTGACTGATGATGGTCGGGAGTCAGAGCCGATGATTGCCTTCACGAACAGAATTTTGATGAAGCCGCACGCAAGCATCCATGGCAGAGTCCATTCACACTTCTCTTTATATACACAGAGCGCATCATGTGCAATTCAAACTTCATATCCATATCAAACCAATGAATTTCATTTAGTTGTGAGTAAGTGGTTGCACAGTTTCATTACCATGCTTAAGAGACATGTTGAGCAATAACATTTTAGCAGCATGACAAATGGGAGGATGAGAACGAGGCACAAAGAAGAGCGAGAGGCCACATTCACTACATCGCTGTGATTGGTTTCCAGTCCTCTCTGATAATAATCGCTCTAACATCAGACTAAAACTACAACATTGAAGAGGGTCAGAGAGGAGTGACAATGAGTCATGCATAATCATGAAGACAAAAAAAAATTGAGGCACACTACCCTACACTATTTATCTCACTTCCTACACACACACACACACACACACACACACACACACACACACACACACACACTCTCACTCTGTGTAAATATACTAAATATAAGCCATCCATAAA